TGCACACATTCAGCCCATGTGAAATGGCGTAAAACACTCTACTGACAAATCACATGTGGGAATATTTTGCCCAAGAGCAAAGAGTATCTATCAGAGGATTTCCTCTAATATAGCTGCCCGAATGAAGCAACGTCATCCCTCATGTTCCCATTCTCACTGTGCCTTTAGCAAGATGATGCCAAAGGATACCCCATGGGATGGCCAGTTAATAAATGGACATGGCAGTAGTCGAGACTACACATGGATTTGCAGACTGATTGGTGTGAGCTGCTCCATCCCTGAATTATGAGTGACATGCCTATGTGTCAAGAGATGTAAGATGTGATGGGGAAGCAGGCTGGGTGCCAGCTTCACCTGTAATGATCCAGGTAGAGCTGCAAAGAGTGCATATGCCTTTATCACCAGCTATCTGCAGTCAGCTGTGGGAGAGAACCACCCCTTTACTTACACTGAAAAGGAAAGAGTTGTGAATTCGATTGATATTGATTTCCCACATAGAAAAGTGAAAAAGCAGGCTAGTCAGCTACAGAAGTAGGAGAACCCAAATGTGTTTGTTAAAATTGCCCTGTATGTACACAATGATGGTGATAAAATGAATGTAAGACTTCAGTCTATGTTATTTTATCTTGTTTGCTAAAACTTGGAGGCATCAGACAAAGGGCACAATTAAAGAACATATTATTATCAAAATTAATTACCTTATAGGAGGCTAATGGAAGATGAAACATTGTGTTGTGGTTTAACCTGGCTGAAACCCAGACACGCTGCAAACATAAATCACTCTGCATGTATTGCAAGGATTTGTGCCACAATTAGGGAAGCCAGGAGAATACTGAAGTATGTGCTAACATGAACTTGGGTTTAGTGGGATGGAAGCATATGCTTTCATAAATAACTACTTGCCAATGCGGTTTTAAAAGCACACTTAGAGTTAAAATGGAAAAATTAAGTCTTACCAGTGTCCCAATAAATGTACCCCATTACAAATCACCATTCTCAAAAGTATAATAGTTTTTAGACTCTAAAAACCCCTTGTCTCAACATTTTATCAGCCATTAGCTGTTAAGTTGTGCTTAAGAGAACTTCTCTAAGAAAAAGTTGATGCCAAAAGCAATTAACACCATATAGGATGCTCATTATGAACTTTTACGGGATATGGTTTCTCACCCAAGAAGGGAGGAAGAGAAGAAAAATGCCTGCCCTGCAGAAGACCAGGAAATCTCCTCAGTCATTGTGTGCTCCTTTATCAATCTGTAGGAAGTGATGTTTGCAAGGCCCGGGCCCACTCAGCATTTCAGATTTTGCTTGCAATATCACCTTTGGAAAGCTGTGCTGCGAAGGCAAACTTCAGCAAAATTGGACTGCAAACATCAAACCATAAATATCTATTCATACCTTACAGATCTACAAAACAGACAAATAAAGGGAGCAGCACTCTGAGATATTGTGTCCTTCATGATCATCCAGAGATCTCTGCTGATGTACCAAGTTCTTCTTTGGAAATAGCTGTTGGAGCACAGGTAAGGGAGCTTCTGCTATTATAAGCTGGCCATCTCTTCCTGATCTCAAAGGCAAAATGAAATGGTTTTTGTCATGTGTGTCTTCTCTTTCTTTCATTTGCTACCAATATGCTCACATTAGGAAAAATTTTTTCACCAAAAGGGTTGTTAAGCACTGGAATGGGCTGCCCAGGGAAGTGATGGAGTCTACATAGAATCATAGAATGTTTTGGGTTGGAAGGGACGTTTAGAGGTCATCTAGTCCAACCCCCCCGCAGGGCACAGGGACACCTTTAACCAGATCAGGTTGCTCAGAGCCCTGTCCGACCTGGCCTTGAATGTTTCCAGGGATGGGGCCTCCACCACCACTCTGGGAAAACTATTCCAGTGTTTCGCTACCCTCATTGTAAAGAGATTTTAAATCCCTGGAGGGATTTAAAAGCTGGGCAGACGAGGTGCTTAGGGACAGGGTTTAGTGGTGGGATGGCAGGGTTGGGTTAACGGTTGAGCTTGATGATCTTAAAGGGCTTTTCAAACCCCAATGATTCTATGATCCTGTGTCTTACTTGCATTGCAGTATGCTTGCATAAAGTTTCAAGTAAAGCCCACCTTATACCCGTTTGCTTAGAGAGCTTGATTTCTCTGGGGGAGGTACCTACAAGTCCTTGAGTTCCCAACTCACATCTAGAAGTTAATGTTCAACAGAGATCTCCAGCGGTCCTTCCTGGTCCTGACTGCCATGGGGCACAACTCCATGCACACACGGTTGTGTTCCAGTCCCAGGTCATTGCTGTGCTGCATAAATTGCTCTGCTCTTCGGGTGTGCTATACAAGTTTGGCCTGGTTTTAAGCAACCAGCTTGCACCTGTCTGTTCTTACTAGGAACCAAAGTCACGGAATTTTCCTATTGCTGTGAATGACATTTTCAGGCTGCCTCTGCTATCAGGGCTTAAAATGTTGCTCACTTTCCTAGAGGACTGCTTTCCTTCTGCACGAAATAAGGTTGTTCAGCAAGATCTATGAATGTTATGGCAATTCGCGTCACTGAAATTTAAACAATTTAACTCTGATCATGGATTTATAGTGTTCTACAGGTGGGAAACAGCACAGCCCTGGAACCGAGTGGAGCTTGGTGAAATACTGCACGTGATAGCAAAGAGTAGTCACCACCTTCCCCAATGCCACATTCTGAGTTAATTTGGGGAAAACAGAATCATAGAATGCTTTGGGTTGGAAGGGACCCCTAGAGGCCATTCAGTCCAACCCCCCTGCAGGGAGCAGGGACACCATTAATTAGATCAGGTTGCTCAGAGCCCCGTCCAACCTGGCCCTGAATGTTTCCAGGGATGGGGCCTCCACCACCTCTCTGGGCAACTCGTTCCAGTGTTTCACCACCCTTGACTATGCTACTACTTGACTCCTTCCTAACATGACCTTCTTTAGGGAGCAATGAGTGCTCAAAAATCACACTTCTGTTTGCAAAACATCACAACACTGTTGTCCCATCTAAATGAAAGGCAGATCGGGGAAATTCGCATTTCAATAGGCTTTCATAAAAACGAAAGGGTTTTGTTTCCAGGTTTCTTCACGTTCATGTTGCAGGCTCTGTCTCTCTGTCGGGGTGTCCCACTGACGACTCACTGACAGAGAAAAGAGAGGAGTGACAAAGCAGGCCTCCTCTCCATTAGAAATGGGAAAAGCCAGAGAGTCGCTGGCAAAAAAGGAGAAAATTTCCAAGGCAAGGGTACAAAAAAGGACATTCTGGAGTGCTTGGCATGTCCTGGTTTGTTAGATTTTATGGGTGGAAGAGGGAAATCAGTATTTATCTCACTGTTATTCTCCGTATAAACACTTAAGCAACTGACATGGTTGCTACTTTCCCAGATGCTTAAGCTTGCTCATTAGTATGTAGATTAAACATAAACATCAGTAGTGTTTTCTTCCTACTAATAATTCTTAGAACAAAAACACCATTAACTCCCAGTGAAATATAATAAACGAGGTAATAAGGAAGCAAACCGCTGAACCAGAATGCCAGAGCTAGGAACTTCAGAAATGTCTGGGCTTTGCTAGAGATTAACCTGTTTATTATGTGTGACAGCATTTGGGCAAAGGGAGGATTCCCAGGGTGCAAAGGTGTTGCAGTCCTTTGGCATTTATAAGATTTTTGTCAAGAAGAACCTTCAGTGTTTTGATCCCCTAACCAATGCTTCTCATAAAATTGGTAGCCACAGGGATCATTCTCTGAAGTAAAGCACAAGTTGGAGCCCCAGGCTTCTGGGGAGCGGCTGGGGGAGCTGGGGGGGTTCAGTCTGGAGCAGAGGAGGCTGAGGGGAGCCCTCATCGCTCCCTACAACTGCCTGACAAAAAAAAAAAGGGGCTGCCCAGGGAAGGGGTCGAGTCCCCAGCCCTGGGGGGATTTAACAGCCCGGCAGCCAAGGTGCTGAGGGCCAGGGTTTGGGGGTGGGATGGCAGGGGTAGGGGAACAGTTGGGTTTGATGATCTTAAAGGGCTTTTCCAACTAAAACAATTCTGTGATTCTAAAGCCCCCAAAGACTTCGCACTTTGAGGTGTTATGTCTGCCCAGCCATTTCAGCTGAACCCAGTCTTTCAAAGCTCAGTCACAGGTCTGCACCTCGCATACTGCAAACTCAAGCCTGGCAGGGCTAAAATTAGCCACTGAAAGGTCCTCCAGGAACTCAGAATCAGTTGCTGGTTCAATTAGTTGCTACCATTTCACTTGGAATCTGGGAATCACCTTGCCTTCACTGCAAGGAGAACCATCTCACCCATAATCACAATGCAACTTCATAAATTCTTATGGAATCAGCCCATTCTCCCAACCTTTTGGGGCAACGTGAGGGGAAACAAAAAGGGAATGTCAGAAGCTGGTAAAAATGCAAAGCACTCAAGGGGGTCTATAAGTGAGAATTAAAGGAGGGAGGCAGGGTTTGTCAGCCCACTGAAGTGGCTGAGATTGTCTCGAACCCTGTTTAAAAAATGACAAAGCAAAGTTGCGTTGACTGCAGTGTTTCCCAGTGCTTTTCTCTGCCTTTGACATCATCTGCCTGGTGACAGGGATGGGGAGACGGAGACAAAATGTTATGTGACTTGTCAGTGATCAGCCAATCCAGGGTCAACGCCGGGACCAGACTCCAACAGTGGCTGCCTCCCAAGCCCTCTGCCTGCCCCATCCCCGCGCCTGTGTTGGAAACGGGTCTGCAAAAGCCACGCGAAGTGGTGCAGCTCGATGGGGCTTGGCGGATGGCCACATTATGTAACGGACACGGTCCGTGGAAATTCACCCTTGGGGATTGCAACACGGTCGCTGCACATTTCATTGCAACCTGTGCTCAGGGGGATAACCAGCCTGCTTCCCAGAAGGTGGGTTGCAGTTACTTATTGACAAAGCACTCAGCTGTCAAACTTGCACAATCCCGCGGGCCCTATAAATACCACCTGCCTTTCCGAGCCTCTTCCTCAAACAAACTTCATCCTCCGTCAATCTTTCAGGCGCTTTGCAGGGATCCACCACCGACTGGCAGCCATGAGGATCCTCTACCTGCTCTTTGCCGTTCTCGTCCTCCTCTTCCAGGCTGCTCCAGGTGAGAAGCAAAGTAAATCCTACAAAGAATGAAAGGGCTTGTAAGCAGAAGCATATGCATAGCAGGAAAAAAACAACCATTACCTGACAGGGAAAATCTGGTGCTGTTGGGATGGTGCTACGCAGCAGATGGAAGCAAGAACATCTGTGCGCATGATGGCTGTCTTCCTAAAAATGCAACACATGATTTATTGCGTATTTATCCTTCATAATTTTAGAGTGAAAAACTGATATTTTAATGTCTTCCCCTTCCCACAGGTTCTGCAGACCCTCTTTTTGCTGACACTGCAGAATGCAGGAGTCAGGGAAACTTCTGCCGTGCCGGGGAATGCCCACCCACCTTCGCTGCCTCGGGGTCGTGCCATGGGGGGCTGCTGAAATGCTGTTCCAAGTAAGTGCCATGGGGATGAGGGGCATCAGAGGGCATTTTTGTTCTGCCATTTTATCTACTGTTTATTTGAATAATACGCATGACTCCATGGGGCTCACGGGGCAGCCATTTGGGAGAAAGTCCAGATGAAGGATGCACGTATACATTGTAGATGTGTGTTTAAGGAGACAGTTCATTTTGATGGAAGTTATGCATGAGAGTAAAATTTCAGGAGGGTCAAAATTTCCCAGAATTCAATATTTTTCCCTTTATTCTGAATTTTGGTTGGGGAAAAAAAGAATTTTTTCAAGAAATTATTAGGAAACTATCTCATGGTATTTTCACCCATCAAGGGAAACAATGTCTCTTCCTTTCCTGTGTTCTTTTCATTTCCAAAATAACCTAGAAAATGAAATTTTAAAGGAGGAAAAATGTTCACAGAACTCTGCTTCTCATTCTCTTCCTATTTCTTCTTCCTCCCACCACTGTGCAGCTTACAGGAAGGTGAAGAAGAGTAAATTTGTTAGTGACTGGAGACAACAGGGTGTGCATTCACTTTTGACTTTGGACACCATTTTCTAATAATGTCTGGAGTTTCCCTGGTAGCAACACTTCTTCTTTCCTTGAGGTTTTGAACACACTTTGGGGGAATGCACTTTATCTTAGGATAACACATACTTCTCAGGCGCTTAACTCTTACAAGAGTTTTGTTCAACTGATTACCATGTGATGACCATTGCCATCAGCAGTGACTGTCTATCATATACACTACATTCAGTGACAAATTAGGAGAGGTTCCTGTGTCTTTTGATGAAAAGGACAAGTGCCATAACTCACATCTATGATTCTATGGCTCTATAACTCATCCCAGCAGATCCTCCGCCAGCCACGTGACTGGACAGAGCCCGGTTCAAAATAAAGGAAGGACTCGGACATGTATTTTCCAAATTTTCCAGAACTCCTTATTCTGTTATTTACAGACTTGCCAGGGTTCAAAGGTTCCCAGAAGCTGAAGAAAGTGCAATGAGATAGCTCTAGATAAGAGGTTTCATAGCATTTGTTCAGCACATGGGGATCCTCAGTCAGACAGCTGTTTCAGTAAATCCAAGTCTTACCAATATTAGGACAAGTTTGTTGTCATGAGATTAAGATGCTAAGGAAGCATCTACTAAGGAATGTAGGAAAGTAAATGGTACAGAAGTAACCTGATATTAGATGATTTTATGAAGGGATGACTTTATCCCTCAGTCTCTGGGAACAATCATTCTCTTTAGGAAGCAATTTCTACTGACAGCGAATAGTCTGGTAGGAGCAGATGGCAGATCTCCAACATCAAACTTCTGTTAGAACATCTGTTGGGCCTGATCCAAGGATGTTGTGGATGGGAAAGGAACAAGGCCTCTTGAGTTTGGTTCCAGGTGTTAATTTTTCTACAGAAATACTCTTTCTCAGAAGAATGTACCCATATATGATATTGGTAGATTAAAACTCTTCCTGTTGGGCTGTTAGATTTTGAACTGGGTTGATCAATGCAACAGCAGAAGTTGAAACCAAAAGGATATTCTGAAGTGCAGTATAAATTTTTTTTCCAGCTGAGGATTCAACCTGTTTTGTTGCTTGAAAAGAAATCTTTGAAATTGGACACAAAGAGTTTGGTTCAGTAAGCTACATTGAGAAGTTTAGTGGCATTTGAGGTGCCTTGGAGTATTTAAACCATATATACAGGTCTGGCTGAGATAGCCCATTGCCTATGGCAAAACATTGCTTTTCAGAAAAGATGGCTGGAGTCCGAACAGATACCCCAGAGCTCTTCAGATGGCACTGGGCTTGTGTGATTAAGTAATTAAAACAAATCTCTGATCTTTATTTTGGGGTGAGCTGACTCAAAATTTTATTAGTAGTGGTAGTACAACTAGTTTGCCAGTGACTGTCGTTCATGTGGACTGGATGCCTGCAGACCTAGACACCCAGCACATGTGTAGGCATCTAAATACAGGGGTTTAAACCTGCAGGCTGAACTCACCCTGTACATTTATTCTGAAAGGTAATTAGCAGGTATGGAGGCTTTTTGAGACTGAGCTTAGACTACACTTCAGCAAAATAACAAGCCCCTTTGTATCCTTACAGGATATTGGCTAAGTAAGGAGAGAAGGCTTTCCTGGGTCAGTGTCCTTGTACCAGCAACATTTCCACTGCCTTGAGGAGGTGATTTTGATGGATTCCTCCTCTATCTAAACCCTCCTGCAAATGAGCATTAAAAGAAGCTTCCAGAGGGCACGTCCTGTTAGCACACCGCTTCTGGAGATCCAGGTTTTTCCTCGCTGAAGTCACTCCCTTTTTTGCTTTTAATACACAAGCCACTTTGGCACCTTGGCCACCTATTCCAACCTACCTCACAGGGATGTTTGGATGTTCAATCAGTTCGGGTTCATGCAGCTCTTGGAGGATGTGAAGCAATATATATGTTATTGTTTTATTCACACACAAAAATAAATGTCTTCTTAAACCAGTAACTGTCATCTGTTATTGTTGCTGACAGCAGTTTTCTCTGTGGCATTATCCCAAGGCTTGTTGAGTCACGCAGTCAAAATATATATATATATTCCAGACTTCATAAACGCAGTGATGGGGTCTGCACTATCTCAACCCAGCAACAAGATTTGGAGTGATACATAGACTTTTTTTGAAAACATCAGACCTGTGTTCAGTAGAAGTCATACAAGTACATTAAATGACCTGGTTTTTTTGATAGTACAGATACAGCCATGAGCCCTATAGCGCTAAAAATGCAAAACTGAGGTGTTTTTCTTTGTTTCCTCCAATAGCTACAGGTGCACAATCAATTTCTTTTCTCCCATCACAACCAGTCATGGAGGCAAGAAGTCCATTTGTTAAAGAAAATTTCCTACATCTGTCTGGAAAGGATGTTAGGGCAACATAGGCCTGATTTCATCCAGGTGCATTAGAGAAAGACTAGGGGTTTCACCGTGGCACTGGAGCCTATTTTTAAGCAATTTAATTGATACTCATGTCTCTGAATCTGGAGCTGTACCAAGCCAAAGAAAGAGATGCTCCTTCTCCGCAACTGTAGCCTTTTTTTGTATCTAAGGAGTCTGAAAAGAACTCCAGTCAGAAACACAAAGGAAAGCAGAAGTCAAAAAAGGTCAAATTAATACAGAGGTAGTGCAGAATTTTGTTTCCTTTGTCTTGTCTTAAGTTGCCCATGGACAACATTCCTGTCCTGTTAGCGTGAGAAGTCCAACAACTGCCTGTTATTTTGCAAAGATTTTGCAGGAGTTTTTTATTTGTGCAAGAAAAAAAAATCTGTTGATTTCTGCAGCTTTGGCTCTGTGAAATGGGACTAGATTGCTTTCTTCTGAATCAACATCTACAACAGGACCACACTCTGTAATTATTAAATGACATCTAAGGGCTACATATTCCACCTACTTCAGTGGCATCTTTGACAGAAAAGGCTTGGGGATTTAGCAGTAACCCATGTTTGAAGCTGCCTCGAGTAATCTGCCTGACTGGAGTAATCTTACATTTGTATTAGCAACTGAAGAGTCCAGGGACAGTTTTCTGGTGAAGTGGAATATTACTCACCAGATCTCTTTGCCTCCAAAATAAGACTGTTGCATTCAAGATGTGTACCAAGAACTGTCCCTGGTCTATGCTAACCCCTGAAACATGCCCAGGATTTGTTCAGGAGATGGCTAGCTGACCCAAACAAAGATCCTCGTAACATTTAAACATCAAGCTAACCGTTCAGCAAGCACGTCTCACTGCCCATAACCTGGTCCCCTTCAGCTTACTACTACAAACATGGATGATCTGTTCTCCATCCCTCAAGTTCCTCCTGTTAAAAACTCTGGTATTAAGTCTGGATAAATTCAGGACAGACTGAGCCTCAGATTTCCCTCCTGTCCCAACAAAACACATCTCTAGTGTTTAAGTCATAGAGACGCTATTCCAAACAGGGTGGTCTCCACTTCTATCTCTAGATGCTGCACCTTGCGTCTGCCAAGGTCTTTTGTTTCACCCCAGCATCCACTCTCACTGACATACATGGGTAACTTCACACTCACTTTCCCCTTTTTGCCAAATTTTCATGGAGTCCATTGAGTCTCACCCCTGCAGTCCCCATGTCCCCTGAGTGAAGCTTGAGATTGGCTTCCTGTGGGATCATAGAATCATAGAATTGTTGAAGTTGGAAAAGACCTTTAACATCATCAAGTCCAACCTGTAACTGAACACTGCCATCCCACCACTAAACCATGTCCCTAAGCACGTCATCTACCCTTCTTTTAAATACCTCCAGGGATGGACACTCAACCACTTCCCTGGGCAGCCCATTCCAGTACTTGACAACACTTTCTGTGAAGAAGTTTTTCCTAATGTCCAACCTAAACCTGCCCTGGCACAACTTCAGACCATTTCCCCTTGTCCTATTGCCTGTTACGAGGGAGAAGAGGCCAACCCCCACCTCGCTACAGCCTCCTGTCAGGCAGTTGTAGAGGGCGATCAGGTCTCCCCTCAGCCTCCTCTTCTCCAGGCTAAACACCCCCAGTTCTCTCAGCCGCTACTCGTAAGCCTTGTGCTCCAGACCCTTCACCAGCTTTGTTGCTCTCCTCTGGACATGGGATGAGTCACACAGCTCTCCTGTGTCACCTGCCCTACAGAGACCTGCTTATCCCACAGCAGTTTGCTGGCTTTTCTCTCTCATGCACCAACCACTGAGAGTTCTTCCCAAGAAGTTCCACAGCTATTGAGAACTTTCCTCCCTAGGAAACCTTTGTTTTTTCCCTTGGAGACCTGCCAGGAAGGCAACTGGACCCAAACTCTTTAACAGTGCAGCTCAAGCTATGGTACAAGCTAGATGGTAGAAAAGAGATCTTTTGACTGATGTACACCTTCCAAAGCTAATGCAGGACCTCAGAAAATTTCCTTCTTGATCACCTGATGAATGAAACAGTTTTCAAAATAGTTGGGATAGGGACTTTCCAAAAGTTTGCTGATCAGTGA